CTTGGCGATGTCCTCCTCCTTCATGGCTACTCGCCAATATCCTGCCCTAAGGTCTAAAGCCACAAACCATCGTGACCCCCTTACTGCTCGCAGCAGATCGTCGATCCTCGGTAGTGGGAATTCGTCCCTCACCGTTACTTCATTGAGTGGTCGGTAGTCCACACAAAACCGCCACTCTCCGGTCTTCTTCTTCACTAGGACGACTCCTGATGCGTACGGGCTTCGACTCGGCCGAATTACTCCTTTACTAAACATATCGGCCACTTCTTGTTCAATGACCGCCTTCTGCTGGTCGTTATACCGCCTTCCCCGGCATGCGATGGGTTTGGGATCAGTGACCTCTATCCCGTGCTCTACAACGGTCGTGCGTCCTAGTTCATCACCGAGCCACAACTCTTTGAACGTCCACAGAATCTGCTTCAATTTCTCGCGGCCTACACCGTCGGTGGCGCTACCCTCTACTGCCTTCGTTAGGACTGGGTCTGGGTCCGTCTCTGCCTGTATTGTGTTTACGGCCCCTTGGGCCCTTACCAATTCGTGCCATTTTCCGTCGACTTTTATTTTACTACTAACGATGTCGACTACGCTTTTGTGCTCCTCCAAGTAGGGCATGCCCAGTATTAGTCGGCCGGTGTCCCGTAAGACAACCCCTGTCACGTCCTGCTTTTGTGCCCCTTCCAATTTCACTTCGACCTTTCACCATTCATACATTCTTCGTGGTTGCCGTCGGCGAACGTCAACCTTAATGGTTTACCTTCTACTGGGTGGGGTCTGAGACCCTTTCCAATGATATTGACTTCAGCCCCGGTATCTACTAGGGCTAGGATCTTGGTCTGGTCACTGGTCATTGGCAAAAAACAGGATGTGGACGTGGAGGTCACTCCTGGTTTGGTAGCACCGGCCTTTCCCCAATAGGGTGCTCGTTGGGGTTTGTTGGCCTTGGTGTGTTGCTTCGTTGTGCCGCCTGAGTTGCTTCGTTGTGCCGCCTGAGTGGTTAACAAAACAAAAACGAGAGCGGAACAGCGAAGTAGTAGTGGTAGTGAGATAGACGCAAATGGAGTGGTTAACAAAACAGTTGGCGACAGCTGCTGGATGCGCCCATGCGTGGGCGCATCCATGGACCGACGCGCTCGAGAAGCGCGTATGGCAAGCCCTGTTTCTGCTTGCCATAGCAAAGGGCCGACTACACAACCTCTGGAAGTGGCTGAAGGGCGGCCTCAGGCCCCTCATAGTGGTTGGATGTATCCCGCTCGTCATTTCGATGTGGCGAGCGAGCACCCACCTAGAGACCGCCATCCAGCAGGGCAGTATCTCCATGGCGACCCTGGTAGCAACAAAGGTACTCGAAAATGTAGGTAACAGGGCCGTGACATCTCTGGCGTCTTCAGCGGTTACTGCGACCTTGCCTGTTTGGTTCTTAC